GATTCAAATACGCATGCCCTCATTCTCAAGGAATTTTATTGCTCCTTGTTGTAAAATTGTGTAGATTAATTCTAAAAAATATTTATGTTTTCACTTTTATTTCTTAGTTTGGAAGTTATTAACCAAACCAATTAACATTAAAAAAAAAACATGATCTCCTCTCCAAGCCGAGTAACCCAATCTGAGGTTGTGGTAACCAGTCCCTTCGAATGATTGGGTAGGCGAACAAACGAGGAGGAAGGCCCTGGGAATAGGCTTTCCAAGAAGGACGTGTGCCAGTATCAGGGCATACAACTTAAGATGGTGGCGGAAGAACTGTCTAAGGCAGTCAATGGCAGCTCCTGCAGGCTTAGTTAGATAGCTTCCTGCGAAAGGGTGGACAACAATCTGAAGCTACAGTAGGCAACTTGTCTGCAGGTGGAGTGCCTCTATGTCAATATTCCTGGTCCTCTAGGTTGGGGATTTAGTTTGGACCGACATCCCAATCTTGTAAAAAATGTTGCGAATACTCGATAAAGAAAATCAGGACAGTCTCTACGGAAACGACATGGAACTCGGAAAAGGACGAAACCTATCAGAATGGCCACTTGGAATGTCAGAAGACTATTTGAGCCAGGAGCAAGCAGGCTTTTGGAGGATACGCTGGCACGATACAGGATAGAGCTTGGAGCAATACAAGAAATCAGATGGAGGAATATTGAACTGAGGGAGCTAAAGGACTACGTCCTAATTAACTGTGGACATCGGGAAAACGTATTAGGCACTGGATTCTTAGTAAGGAAAAATATAAGACATCCAATAATGAATTATGCATGGGTAAATGAAAGAATCTGCACTCTCAGAATCAGGGGAAAGTTCTTCAATATAAGACCAGTTAGCGTTCATGCACCAACAGGATAAAGGATGAGAATGAGGATAAAGATGAGGTGCAGAAGGAGGCTTTCTACGCTGCGCTGGAGTCCACAGTTGACAAAATAGTTTTGGGGGACTTTAATGCAAAAATCGGAAGGGAAGAAATGTTTCGTACTACTATCAGCCCACATAGCTTGTACGTGGGAAGTAATGAAAATGGATTTAAAGCAATTGACTTTGAACAATTGAGCAATTGAACCTCTGCGGGGTTCAGTATTGTAAGTACATATTTCGACCATAAAAGTACTCATAAGGAAACATGGGTTTCCCCTGATGGGTTAACTAAGAACCAAATACATCACGTCATGATTGAAAAAAGGCATGCTACAGATGTGACAGATGTTCGAAGGTTCAGAGGCGCTGACTGCTCATCAGACCTCTACATGGTCGTAATACAATGCCGACAAAGGATTGCCAACCAACCAAAGGGACATACAGCAAAAACTAAGAAGTATTGCACTGAAATATCCTGACGAGAAAAAGAGGTATGCAAAAAGAGTGGCTGTAAAACTACAAGAAGCTATAGATGGAAACGAAGGTATGGAAGTTATATGGAGCAAGATGAAGAAAGTGGTAACAGAGACAGCTAAAGAAATCCTGAGTAATAAATCATGAGAATCCCCAGAGCACATGGTTTGATAAGGAATGCAGGAGGATGGTAGAGGAAAAAAATAGGGCCAGACTAACAGTGCTCCAGAGAAGGACCAGAGCAAACGTAGAAAGGAGAAGAGTCAAGACCTTGTGCAGATAAAGCCATGTTCCTCCAAATGAAAGAGGTGTATCGGGAGAGAAATAGAAGGAAGTTCTTCGGTATCCTTAAAGAACAAAAGGGAGAATTCAAGCCAAGGATAGGCTTTATAAAGAATGATAATGGCGAGCTGCTGGAAGACCCGCGGGATGTTGTTAATAGATAGTCTCAATATTTCGAGAAACTCCTAAATCCAGAAATGCATGAAGAACTCGTTTTAAGCCCACCTAGCTACATCGGATCGGCATATATAATTACAGATATTATAGAACCTGCAGAGAAGGAAGGAGGTTGCAGAATTTCTTGCACCTCTAAAAAATTCCCCTAAAAAATTCACCTCTAAAAAAGGTCCCTGGAGAGGATGAGATTCCTGCAGAGCTGTGGAAACATGGAGGAGAAGCATTGGTCGATCAAATGTACCATCTGATTTTTGACATCTGGATATCAGAAGAGGTGCCAAAAGACTGGTCCATTGCATTGATATACTCAGTTTATAAGAAGGGAGACAAGATGGAGTGTGAAAACTACAGAGGCATTGCGTTGCTAAACACAGCATACAAAGTTTTCTCCAGTCTCCATGAGCAGGATTCTCCAGTACTCTGTGAGAGAGGTCGGGGAATACCAGAGCGTATTCAGAAGGGGTAGATCCACTATAGACCATATTTCAAGCATAAGGATCTTCACCACCTCTTCATAGACTACAAGCAAGCATATGGCATTGTTCACCGAGGCAAGTTGTATCAGGCCATGGCAAAGGTAGGTATACCGGAAAAACTGATAGGATTAGTGCGTGGGACCTTGAAAGGGCCACAAGGGAGAGTGAAAATACAAAGTGCAAGGTCCAGTAGCTCCCATATCAACAAAGGATTAAGACAAGGAGATCCTCTATCTCCCACTCTATTCAACATTGTTTTGGAAATAGTGATAAGGACCATTCGAACAAATCCTGGAGGGACCATCTATAATCGACTGACCCAGCATCTTGCCTTTGCAGATCACGTTGTCGTACACGTGCACCCTTTACAGAAGCTTTAGCGAAATGTGAACAGGCCTCAAAAACAGCAGGACTCAGCATTAACGAGACCAAAACTAAATATATGAAGACCTCCTGGGGTGTTTGTGGGTCAAGGAATCATCTTAGAACTGGAGAATACTTTTTCGGGCAGTTACAGGCGTTTAAATATCTTGGGACCAATGTAAATGAAAAGAATGACATACAGGCACATAAAGTCATAACGTGATAACATAAAGACATACGTGAGATAGTGTCACGCATGATGGCCGAAAATAGATGTTGCTGGGCGCTCGGAAAAGTACTTAGGTCAAAGGTGTTGCCCTGGCAGTTAAAGAAGGCCGTATATGTCAGCATTATTAGACCAGTGGTGACATGGAAGTGAGACATGGGTCCTCACCAGGAAGTCAGAGCAAGTACTGAACGTGTGAGAGAGGAAAGACCTGAGAAGGATTTTCGGCCCGTTGAAGGGAGGGAGATCGGTGGAGGCAGAGGAACAATCAGAAGCTCCGTGGTCTATAAAAAGCCCCGGATATTGTCACCTGCATCAAGACGAGTAAAATTAGGTGGCTGGGACATTTGCAGACAATGGAGGAACGGCGTATCCCGAAGAAACTTCTGGATGGACACCCTGGTAAAGGACGAAGAAGAGGATCTCCCAGATTCCGGTGGCTGGAGGACTTGAAGGACAACCTGAAGACACTTGGACTCCGAAGGTGGGGAAGAGCGGTTTGGACAGGGGTGAATGGTGGACATTTGAGGAGGAGGCCAGGGTTCTGCAAGGACCGTAGTGTTCCCTCCAAAAAAATCTTTTCTTGTAAAAATGTGACCTCCCTCAAACATTTTAATGGCGTAACTGGTTTCAAATCGTTGTCATGACGACTTCATAGTGGAATATAGTTCGAGATTTACTCTGTGAAATAAACTTCAAACCAGGCCGGATTCTAATCGATGCCGCTAGACTTGTGACTGTTAAAGGGACACCTCAATGTGCTCGGCCATCAAGGCCTCTAGCTGTAATAACTTGGTAAACACAGGTTATTACTATTTATTGAATACTTAATAGTTGACCGTTGTATTTTAGACGAAGGAGATGGTCCGGGATGGCGGTTATAAATAGACTAAAATACTGGCAAAAATATTTTATTTTAAGCGGTCAGGTCGAAACGTTGGCTCAAAATAAAATAGTTTTGCCACTATTTTAGTCTATTCCTTTTTTTTTCATTTATTTATTTATTTTTCTATATACATTACAACATGCCATACTGATAAGTTACATGAGTCTATTACTATTTATATTATACTTCATATATATATATTTTTTTTTTTTTTTTGCTAGCTTTGTTTGTCGCAACATGCTTCTCGTGTTTTATTCTGAAATTAAGTGGAATAAATGAACTATTATAATTTGTTTTCCCAATAATTAATACAGTCCTTGAGACAGACTCTTCACTTGTAAAAGTAAAAGCAATAAAATACTTTGTATTAATATATATTTATAGTCTGTCTTTTGGATATTTTTGCTGTTTTCCCCACAAATCGGCTGGACTAATTTTTGCAATTTAGAACGTTTTTAGTAAACCACAAACTAAAAAATAACATAGTAGGAACGATAAAAATTAAATTCATCAAAAAACAAATGAAAATCTGTCTATAAATAGTTATGATCTTCCAAACCCTCTTGCAGCCGTTCATCGGATAAAAATAGATTACCTCAGGGAGAGATATGAGACTTTTTTTGTTCAAGACCATGTCAGCTTAAAATCGAGTAATTTTAGCTTCGGTTGAAATAGCCAACACCCACTAATCCTTCCCACCATTAGTTACCCTTCCTTACTAGGTGGGGAAAATCGCTCTCTGTGAGTCCAATTTCCACCAGTTCTTTGTCCCTTGTGTTTCAAAAGTTCGATTAGAATTGAACTGACCGGAAGGTTTTTTATAATACGATGGGCGTACAACAGTTATTTTCTCAATTCCACTAAGGGAACACACACCAAATTTTTTTTTTCCTTCTGCCGTTTGGTATGACTCTTCCGCTATAAGACCTCTTGCAGCAGTGTCATGTTTTGCCAATTTCGACCAACCAGTATCCTCAAAAGAGAAGTGTTTTCCAGAGCAATTATTTACTCTAGTGAGACGTGCTAATTGGAAAGCCCTAAGCAATTACGTATAGCAAGCCACATTACAAACAGCCCAACTCACAAGGCCAGGTCAACTCAGCAGTAACTGCAAAAGAACATTCCAGAGTTCATCTCTGCCTCGGATTGGCCCTCAGGAAGCCCTGATCTGAACCTACTAGATTATCGGCTTTGGTCCGAACTGGAGAGGATGGCATGCCACAGAGTACATCCTAACTTGGAAACCCTCAAACAATCTCTGGTCCGAGCTGTTGAGCGCTTTCCTCAAGAAGTGCCGCGTGCTGCTATTGATGACTGGCAACGGGGATTATATGCCTGTGTCAAGGCAAAAGGGAAACATTTTGAGTAATGGCTAGTTACAGAGATTGACGGAGAACCGATTATCAAAATTATCTCTATAGGATTACCGATAGAAAGGCGAAAGAGGACGACCAAGGAAGAAATGGTTGCAAGAAGTGGAGGAAGGCATGGCTGCCAGAGATCTTCGGTAGGGAGAATGGCCAGACCGAAAGAAGTGGTAAACACTTCGCTAGTAAAAACAATTTATCAGTACTGACTACAAAAAGTTAGTATTTATTTAAATACAACATATTAAAAAGCCATTATCCGTGATCAAAGCCTTCGTAATCTTATTCGTAATAATACGAATAAGGTTAAGGAATCGTGCTCATTGTTATCAATCCTGTTCGAAAGATATTCAGCTAGGGATTGACTATTAAACTATTTTTCTTTTCTTCGTTTAGAAACGTTTTCAAACAAGATAAGATATGTTTTCTCTATGGGGTGAATAAACCCTGCAGCTAAGTTTGAAGAGAAGTACAAAAGAAAGTCGAATAGAAGCGATCGTGTGAAAGGTTCTTTGTCGTGTTGGGGCGAAATGGGGGCGTCATGATTCGTCAGGCATTGCCATTTCAAGCAAGCCATTCAACGGCACGGACGATGGAGTCTCTAAAATACTGGGTATATTCTCGTTGAAGGGCAAATTTTAATCCACTATATAAACGTTCATCCTATTGGTTAAGTTAACGTGCTTTTATCTCATTGCTATGCGTCATTATATTGCGTCATAATTTCTTTGACACAAGTTAGTAAAAATATGTTTCGGTACAACATTCACTTATCACTCTACTTTGGGTTTAAATAGATAGATATTTGCATAAAAATGGGAAGAACGTATTCATTTAAGAAAATTAATCACCATGTTTTTCACAACCAACTAATCTATTAAATGTGTACAGTTTTCTTCACTGTTCTACGTTTGTCATATTTTAATTATTTTTAAAAAATCAACTATGACTTTCTTATAACAGGAGTGCCAATGATAATATTTATTTTATATTTCATTGATGGTATTTTTATTTGTTTAAGCATAGGTGCACAGAAAATTTTTATTTTTTTATCATAAATATTAATTAATGATACAGCCTCTCAATTACTTTCGGCCGTGCCAGATGGAACGCCCTGAAGAAGACCTACAACGTAGGCCGAAACATTGGAAAATACAATATAAAAAATACTATTATATGATATATTGGATTGGCAAATAAGTGCTTTCTGATTTTCAGATTGAAATAAAACTCAATGTATTATAGACATAAAATTTATTTTAATCTACAATATATTGACCATTATTTAATATGACTTTTGTCCATCTTTCCACTAACTGCATAATGCCATGTGTTCATAGAATGTCTGGTGTTTTTGTTAAAAAACTGATCCAAGTGGTTTTTGATGTCCTCTTCCTTTTGGAATTTCTTTCCATTGATGGAGCTCTGCAGAGACCGGAATAAGTGGTAGTCACTTGGAGCTTGGTCTGGTGAATACGGAGGCGAAAGGTCCCATCCAAGATTCAATAATTTATTGTGAGTGACCAATGAGGTGTGGAGCCAAGCGTTACTGGGTGGAACTCAACACCCTTTCGATCATTCATAACTCTTCAAAATGTGATCCAAATTTGATGTTACTATATCTGTCGATAAGCTGAATTATTGCTATTCAAAGACGTCTGAACGATTTTTGATTTAATGCCTACCTAAGGAATAAATAAACAAAAACTTCTTATAGGTTTTTATTTTTGTCTCCATTTGTAGTTTGTATACGAAGGTCCTGTTGATGTTATTTTGTTTAGTTTATGTTGCCCTAAATTGCTACTAAATTTTTTGTAGATAGCTAAAGTCTTATTAAAGTTATAACATTTTTTGTGATGCTCGAAAAAGAATCATGTATCAAACTCACCAAAATCATCAATCTCTCGCACTGATTGGGTGGGATTTTGATCAACGATGGCCTTAGCATTGCTCGATTCAATTTTATGTGGGCGACCAGACCGCTGAGCATCATTAATGTCAAACGTTTCTGAATGAAATTGGGCAAACCAATTTTGACAGGTGCGTTGGGTCAAGGCATCGTCCACATAAACACTGCCAATTTTTCTATGAGCTACTGCAGGACGCTTACCTTTTTTAAAATAATTCAACAAAATATGCCGATTACGAATGATATTTTCTTACCTGTTCATAGTGCACCAGCAAACACAATAAATACTAGGCTAGTTTCAACAAGAGTTAACAGATATAGTTGTTGACATATTATAAACAGGATAAACAATCCACCTTAAGGATTAATTCATCAGATAAGAAGTGTATCATAGTGACATTAAAAATGAACAGAAAAACCGAAAGGACTTATTTGCCAACCCAATAGTATTATATATTGACTGCACTCCGACCAACTTCTTCTCATATTAATTGTATATGTATTTGTGCAGCAAATATGTTTTAAATGCAGATTTTTAAACTTTTTTTTAAGTTCTTATTTTCTAATGCAGAGTTTTAAAAAAAAAATTATTAAAATAAAGGGATTGCAAATAAGTTTACAGAGAGTTTAAAAGAATTGTTGAAATAGAGGAGTTGCTAATAATTTTTATAGGACTTTGTTACGTAAAAACGGTCAAAATTATAAATTGATTACTCTATGTTTTGTCCATAGTTAGTCACTCCTCAATTAATTTTTTTTTTTTTTGGCAGCATTTGAATTCCGCATTGAGAGAACTGCTGGTCTTTGGGGGCATTCCAAGAATCGGTCCATTAATCGCATACCTCATTTAGGAAGGAAGAGGCCATGACCAAGAAGGGGTTATGAGTCATTGATCGAAACAATAGGTATTTGGCAACGAAGTATTCGGTAGTAAGGAGCAATGTCTGGAGAATACGGCGGAGGGAGAGGGTATTCGATTTGGGTTATTTGACCAAAAATAATATGAAAGATCTACTTTCCAGACATTCTACCATAATACTTATAGCATACGATTTTCTCACATTTGGAAGATGATTCTCATGACTAAGGAAACGAATCATCCTTCAAATATTGCTTTCGCATCTTTGAAACTTCTCTAACTTTGCATCTTAATTAAACAATCTATCTTTCATTTACAGACCTTATCTCCTTGTCAAAATCGCCACTTTCGAATCTTTTAAACCACTACTCACATGTTGACATTGATAACGCTATGTTATCCATACGCCTCACACAGTAATATTTTTTTGGCTATTATTATTATAGGCGTCAACCACTAGGGCCATTATCGCCTCGCGTCAATGGTTAAAATTCTAAATTCTGAAATAAATATTGGTCTATTTTAGGAATTCAAAAACTTTATCGATCGTCTGTACATTGTCAATCAAAGGGGAATAAATATTGTTAAGAATACTGAACAATATCCTACAGGCATCCGTAGGTCTGACACTCGGTTTGAGATTTTCGGTCTTCAGGTAACCGCAGGTCAGGAACACGTGTGTGTCCTATACCCAACCGCGTCAAAACGACATCCTCTCTTCGACTATGTTGGAATGAAAATTTCCAAGGAGAGGCATTACTTTTAATTTCCATCAGTTTAGTTCCAGAGACAGCTGACCAAATTAATTTCGTTCCCATTTTAATTTCATTCCTTGTTTAATAAGGAAGATAAAGTCTTCGGCAGGAACCCACCTATATGGGACAGTAATCATTAAGAAAGAAGAGAGGAAAAAGTTTCCACAAATTACGTTTCGTTGACATAAAAATAAACAAATTTGGAATTTAAAAAAAGACTATTAAAGCTTAATGAGGACGCATTAATGCAAAATGGTACTAATACAAAAACCACTCAGCCTTATGTCTCTAAAATGTAGTTAAAAATCAAACTAACCCGTCAAAGTGTCGCCAATTTAGGCGTTATCAAGACAGAAAAGAAAACAAAATCGCAACACTCCATCACATGAAAGAAAAAAAGTGTAATAAAACAATTGAGAGAGGTCATAATCAAACAACTGATTAGGAAAATGGAAGCGATGAAAGTAATCCCTGCTGCACATTTTCAATGTCCTTTATTTGTATTTTCCATGTCATATTTATATATTTTGGTTTTTGATATGTCGTTTTTTTCGTATTTTTCCATCTTTTCCTTCTTGCTGACCAGCTGTTTAATTATAACCTTTCTCATCTTTGTTACCTCCACTATGTTATAAGGATTTGTCTAGATATCATGGTATGATTTGATTTTTTCCTGTCTTGAATCATCAACCTGAATTGAATAAGTGTTAGTTTTTGTTTTAACCTGCATTTTACAAACATAAGGTTGGATGGTTGGATTTTTCTAATTATAACCTTTTCCTCCTCCTCCAGCGTCGGATTAACAAGTGGTTGGGACATGTCTGCCATATGGATGATGAAAGGCTATCCAGAAACGACTTGGAAGCCCATCCGTCTGGTAAGAGTCCTCGAAGTTGTCCAAGGATGTATGAGGAATACGTGGAAAGAATAAGTGAATGAATTCAGGAATTAACCCAAAGACTCAATGAGGAAGATAAAGAAGAAGGAATCTGCAACTGGATGAATGAACTCAGGGCACATTAAAATGGAGAATAGTTAATTAAAATACCGAAGATCGAGTCACCCAAACCTGACTGAGCCAAAGAATATGTACGTTTCGAAAATCTGTCTTATTTTTCTTTATTTACTTTCTTAAATTGTTTTGATCTATAATTTGATTCACATACCGTTCCTCAGTTCAACAATTAGCGATTTTGAACTTGAGAGGAAGTAGTGTCTGTAATTACTTTGTTTCGCCCACAATTTTCATTACCTTAATTTTGTCTAAAAACAGATTTATTTTAAAGATTTTCAGAACAATCCACAAATTATAGCAGCTCTCAATAACATGACACTGTTCTATTGTTTATATGTCCTGCATTGCTTAATATTTCGATATAGTTTTCTTTTCACCATGAATAAATCTATTATATTTGATAACGTATGTCTGAAAAAAGCTAACATGGAAAATGGATAAGACAGGACTTCCCAAAAGAAGCGCTATTGCGAGGAAGCATAAAACCTATATTGATGGGAATCGTTATGCACGTTGTCGCTGGAAGAATGCAATGTAAGCAGATTGGCTGATAATTTAACTTATGGATTGTTAAAAGAAAAAACAAGAAAGGTATATAAGATAGCGTCTGCAAGCTCCAAAGATTTTACTAATCGTCAATAGCTTAAAGCTCCCGTGTTCTGCTTCTACTCCACAATAGATTATACGTTTTGGAAAGAGAAAGGTTTCAAATATGGCGGTGAATGATATCAAGAGGAATTTATCACAACAAGTCGTAAATAAAACTAACGAGACACCTCATTATTCATGATGATTCTTCTGAATGTTTAGGTTATTTAAGAGGTATAAGATAAGGTTGCTATGGAACCCGCGCTGCTCGATCTCGTGTTGAACACAGGTCACGTCTGGCTGATAACTCGATATAATGGCTTTCACCTCCAGTTGTTCAGCTTCGTAGCTCAACTAAACCAGCGTTTACTGAACTCGCTATGTTTTGTGTTAGTTCTGTTTAATTTTCACTAATGCCTCATTCGCACGTTAAAGGTATAAGTATTTAGTGAAGCATTTAGTTAATCTGAAGACATTTTAAAGCGTGTAAACAGCAAGCCAAACAATAGTTAACAATTTAGTGTTTAGAAAGCAAATAAAATAGAATAGACAATACTTGTATATTTAATAGCGGTACGCACGCAATCCCAATGGGCGTGGCTTCGATACTTTTCTTTCAGCGCTCTATACAAATTAAAGACAAATTCCACTGCCGTCTGTGCCCTGAAGACAAAGTGTGAATGTGAAGTCTATTCCTTCAATATGTAGCATTAAGTAAAAACAGGCAATAATGTCATCAAGTAAAATGTAATAGTCATGAAGGTTTATTGAAGCAAGTAGTCGACTGTTCTACATATCATGGGTGATGAATATTCAGGAAGCAGCCATTATAAAGTTTCTATTGGTGCCGACGTTTCCACCCAAACATGTGGGTCATCATCGTCCTCAGCAGCCGTCAGTATTTCCTTATTACATTCCAATACCAGACCATTAGAACTCAGCGACCCTCCTATATTCTACACATCCTACAATTCAAATGCTTCTTTCAATCCCACTAGATCCCGTACGTCCGACCTCTATCTTCCTCCTCACCGGACTGCTGCGTTTGACAAATCCTTTATAATTCAAGCTGTCTCCCTCTGGAATTCTATCCGACACGCAAAGTCAGTATGCTCTTTCAAATATCTCCTCTTCAAGCACCTGCTTCATTATTTATCATGAAATACACATAAAAATCTAAGTAGTAAGAATCTCCAAGTATCCTCAGATACTTGATTATTTTGCGATTTATTGATATTTTGTGTTACTTTCTCTGTTTACTTTATATTTATGTAAGTTTTTATATCTTTTTATTATGTTATTAATAATCATCCTGTAAATATATAATTATATTTTATGGACACACCAGTTTGTAATATGTTCTAAAGGTTCTCAGAATAATAAAAAAATTTTCATTCATTCATTCTTAATCAGGGCATGTTTCGGGCACTGAATTTATTCAAGTACTCTGAGTACTTGAATACCTTATAGAAAGCCCTGATGATGACCCAGTCTGGATTGAAACGTTGGCCCCAATAAAATCTTTATAATGATAGTTCTGAATGTTTATCACCCATCATGTTTATCACCCAGTCATAAAAATGATTTATGAAGATTTTTGTAATCATAACAGAGGTTATTCCAAAGATCAAAAGACTCTCTTAAGTTCCACGAAAGAACAAGTAGTTCCCCTCGTCCCTACAACAAAACTTTGACCAATAGGAAAATCTTTTATGAAAAGTTCTTTTGCAAAGAACAAAGTAGTTTTGGAGAGGTCTTTGGAGATGTTCATTGCAGAGGTCAGTTGGAGATATTTGAAAGCGAATCCGAACAAGAAAAGAATTGTATCACAGGGAAGACAGTCTAGAAAGTACGGCAAGACTATGACATGGAGGAAGAAATAGCTGAAGAATCCACCATAAAAGTACTCATGTAAATCTGTGTTGGCAATTCATAAAATAGTAAGATAATCCGTCATATCCACACCAGCATCCTAAATACAATGTTCTAAATGTGTTTATGTATTTTGTTTTCATTCTTGGCATTAAAGATCTTGTTGATCTTTTAACATCCATAACAAGCCTGCTCCATATCTGACTAAGTTAACTCTTGCAGTATTGCATCTTTGTTGATTCGATCTATCCATCTGCTTTTTGGCCTTGCACGTGATCTTTTGTATATTAATGAGGCATTCATTGTGTTTCGGTTTTGTGAAGATTGTTTCTGTAAGCAGTTCTTTATTGATCTTTCATTCCCATGTGTTAGTACTCTGATCCCAGGTCGCTGCATGTTATAAAAGATTATAAGTCTTTAATTTGAGATTTTTTTTGGATTTCAATCCATTTGAAAGAAAGAAAAAAGCTCTGTTTGTGCTATTTATAAGCTGATCTATTTCCAACCGTTGTGGTTGTTGTGGAGTCGAAAATAATTTTATTATTCTGGGACTAGTGTCCCTTTAGAACAAGTTGCATATACAGAATATATATTAATATTTTGGTGTGTCCATAAAATACAATTTAATATTTACAGGTTGATTGTGATTACAATAAAGTTATAAATAATAAGAATATATATAAACGTTAAATATAAAATATACAGAGAAAGTAATTAAGTAAACGAAATATGGATGAATCACAAAATAATCAGAGTATCTGGGTGTACTTTAAGGTTTTTAAGTGCGTGGGGTTGGTGTTTGAAGATTTGAGATTTGAAAGAGGATATTAATTTTCGTGTCGAATATCCGAAGGTATAGAGTTCCAGAGGGTGACAACTTGGTATTAAAAAGGATTTATCAAACGCAGCGGTTCGGTGAGAAGGAGGATAGAGGTCGGACGCAAGGGATCTGGAGCGTTTGAATTCTAGGCTCTGTAGAATATAGGCGGGTCGCCATGTTCTAATCGCTTGGTATAGGAAGGTAGCAAGGAAATATTGACGGCGGTAGGACGGATAAAGCCACTTCAACTTGGCGTAGAACTGGGTAATATGCGTACCCCTTGAGATCCCGAAGGTAAAGCGGATTGAGCAATTCATTAGACGTTTAAGTTTGGCTTCGAGTTCTCCCGAGAGTCCACCATACACCATGCAGCCATAATCGAAGTGGGGGAATACAAGAGAGGAGACCAGGAGTTGACGGGTTTAGAACGGAAGAAGATAACGTAGATGGTTAAATCGTTTCAGGGTTGATACATGATGAGTACGGCGGGAAATTTGGGAGATGTGTAAATTGTAAATAGACCTTTTATTAGAACTTGATTTTTTTAGCATTTTCTCTGCTTGCCATCATCTAGATAAAGATAGTTAATTGGTAAAAAAATACTCATGAAAAGGATAATTTTTTTCATCAGCTTTACAGATCCACATTCTTATGCGTTAGAAGAAGCGGATAGTCAGAAAGCTATCTTTCGAAACGAGTGGAAGGATGAGGATTAT